TACTCGTGTTCGTCACCGTTCTCAAACGGTGGCGCCACTTTCTTCTCGGTCGTCGGCGTTTTAAATGCAATACGGACAACAATCCGTTGACCTTTTACAAAACGCAAGACACGGTCACTAGCACGATCCGTCGATGGATGTATTACATCGACCAGTTCGATTTTGACTCGTGCCACATTCCCGGTCCCGCCAATCGAGCTGCGGACGCCCTCTCACGACGGCCCGACTTTTGTGCCATTGTGACCACGGCATTCGACCTCGATGACGATCTGCAGCCGCATTTCGTCAAAGGCTACAAGTCCGATCCAACTTACTCTACGCTTTACGCGGAGCTTTCATCGGATCACCCGCCGGCTAGCCAYTATCGGATTTCCGACGGGTTCCTTCTCCTTCACACGAGAGGAAAGGACTTGTTAGTTATGCCCCAAGATCGCATCTTACGGACTCGTCTTCTCGGCAAATTCCACGACGCACGACTTTCGGCACACCTTGGTGTGAACCGCACACTAGCACGCCTCCGCCGGCGTTTTCACTGGCCCGACGTCCTTCATGACGTCACGAGGTACATTGAGTCATGTGCAGTTTGCCACCGTAACAAGGGTCGATCTCGAGTCCCCTTCGGCGAACTGAAACCGTTGCTGATTCCTCGGGCACCACGCCTCTCCATCACTATGGACGTGACAGGCCCGTTTCCCTGCGATCGCCATGACCATGACGGTATTCTCACGGTCGTTGACCGTTTGAGCAAGTATGCTCGCTTCCTTCCTTGCAAGTATCATGCTGCAGCGCSTGAGCTCGCACGACTCTTGCACACCGGTTGGATTACCAATCAGGGTATTCCGGAAGACATAGTGAGCGACTGAGATACTCGCTTCATGTCGGCCTTTTGGACTTCCCTCATGGCTGAGTACGGTACGGCAATGAAGTCGAGCTCGGCTCGGCACCCGCAGACGGATGGCCAGATAGAGCGAGCGCACCAGACCGCTCAGATGATGTTGCGTACGCTCATCCGTCCCGACCAGAAAGATTGGGTTGACCAGCTTCCCGACATTGAGTTCGCCTATAACACTTCGGTGCACCCGGCGATCTGTGAGTCAGGCGCCGGACCCAAAACCCTTCACGAGGGGAAGCGGCACATTTAAATGATTCAGGATCAATGGAACCATCAACATTTAAGTAGAGATGAGGGTCTATGCACTCCAAAGGCCAAGCGATAAAATGAAATGGCGGTTGCCTAGCCATGGAGTGATAAAGATGACAATGACGTGAGCAAGTTGTTTGAGATGAATAGCAGGAATGCCAATGCTGTTGCAGACGATAGTGACCAGAGTATGTGGTTTGCCCAACATATGTGCAATCAGATGGTATGTGGATAACGGCATAAATAACCCCAGCATCCATTCCTCGCTGAATGGGGCTTTGATCAATGCCTCGCACTTGCAGTTCAAATTGTTCCGCCTGGGCTGCAGCTGCTATGTAGCAGAGCCGTTTTTTAAACCAACGCCCCGCGTCATAAAGATTAGTATTCCAATCATGGCGTGCAACCCAATCAACTCTATTACATTGTCATGCATAGCGGTGATGAGTGGAAGAGCAAGGGGAGTTACCATGAAGAGGATCATGAGTAGGATGTGTGTTTCGTGCTGCGCCACTAGCATGGGAATCCCCGCTCAAGTACCTTTCCTGATTCTCACCTTGTATCGTCGACATCATAGGTATGGTATTTTTCAAAATCAGGAAATTCTGTTCAGAAAGTAGAAAGAGGGAGTGTAGCATAAGGGTAAAGCCACGGTCCAGGGTTTTTAGGCCTGTCGGCTCAGCACGGGGAGGCTGCCGACGTCCCTTGCAGGAGGAACTCACCACAAAGTCTCCCAAGTGATGGCTCGGCTAGTACACAGAATGCCTCCACCTGTGAGTGTGCTCTGGGCAGACGCCCTAGACGCCGGGCACAACAGGACTAGCTATTCTGTTAGGAAGGAGTGTCCGATGATCACCTAGAACTCTGTGTACAAGGATTATGTCAAGGAGAACGTCCTGCAAGGGTGAGATGAGTACTCCGCACCTGGGTCTGGCACACCTTGGGTGGGGAGCTAACTATACTCACTGCGCGGAAGGAAAGGGCAAGAAACCGTGCCCTTACGGTGACCGCCACCACAAGACATAGACTTCTGAAACAAAACCAAGAGTTCAGCCACATAGACAAGCCAAAAGCAATATAGTTAGTTCAAACTATAACATAACGAAATCGCAGCACCAAACGAGACAAACAACGGACTCGAGGCATACTCATATTTCTGGGTGGGAGACATATCTATGTGCCGGCACATGTTCAATCCATCATAGTTGGAGAAGCCCTTGCATTTATCCGGGCCAAGCATGTTGGAAAAATCAGAAAAGCATGCGGTAGGCAAAAGAGCTGTAAAGCACTCCAGCTTAACATAAGAGTGTGTGTGTGTGTGTGTGTGTGTGTGAGAGAGTGAGAGAGAGAGAGAGAGAGAGAGAGAGAGAGAGAGAGAGAGAGAGAGAGAGAGAGAGATGTCATCGTTCGAACATGTGGGTTCGGTCGAGAGGTAGTCCAAATCCTCCTACGACTCGCCCCGCAGCCCGATTTCATGCAGTCAGACCCTTCACGATTGATACTACTCCAGGTCCATTCTACGCTGTCTGTTTGACCCTACATCGCATGCTTACACAAGCAACCAACTCAGAATGGCAATCTATTTCTCGAGCCCTCTCCCGAGCCACCCCTGTTTGGCGCTCCCGCTTGCTGCAGTGGTTGCAAACAAATGTCTCAAACTCCGAGCTCACACCTAACATTCGTCAACTGGAGTGCATGATCCGTGGTCTGCAGTATTCACGGCACCCATACTGCGCCCTGCACATGATAGGGTTCCGTTCCTCAATTTCATTAAGGTCATGCATATGCATCAGGTTGCTCGCACCACACAGTTATGGAGCGTCCTTCGGCTTCCAGAGGTCACTGAATTACATCCACGGCCTGCTCTTGCCAAGGAAATACGTATGTGCGACAAGATGGTGTCACCCATATGTGTCCAATTTTGTAATTTTACAGAAGTGGCGCTCAAGATAACAAGCAATATACCTCTTCCAGACCCTGGCAATTGTCCTTGTCGACAAGTATTCCCACAATGTGTACACACTGTTGATGGTCATGTAGCCACAGTGGACTACACCATTATACAAGATACACACTTACGAGCTCTCTTCTTTGAAGTCTCCAAGTACCGCCGCAATGACGACACAACAAATGTGATGAAAGCATTGAAACTCGATCTGGACGAGTATATTGCTAAATTTATAGCAACCATGAGATCAGCACGCAATAATGAGTCTCTGATTGCTGACAATCTTTCTCAGTTGTGCAGATGGCGCACATCAGTTCTTTCAGATACCAATGGAATATTATTGCGTCACCGTACCAAGCACCTACTCAAACTGCCTCGCGTGCTGCCAACACATCTCTTCGACAGCTACAACAGCGATTCGCTATAGTACATGTCGATAAAACATCACACAGCATGACAATCTGCTGCAAGCGCTGGTACGCGTACGACTTATCACAACATCTTGACAGTTCCACCTACAATCAAGCATCGGGGACTGTGGCCAGCATCCTCGAACGCCATGCACTTTTCAACCGACGTTGGGGCTATCGACATACTTACACCTTGCCCTATCTCTACTTTGCACTCTAAGCACACAAATCTCCACCTGCCCTTCGTCTGATTCTTGGAGTTACACAGTGAAACAACCTTTCCCGATCTGCACCTTGCACAACACCTCACCGACCTTCAGTTACGGACCTGCACAACAGACCCCCTCATAAGCCTTTTGCAAGTACAACAATGGCCTCCCGCTCACTTAGCTACGCCCTTCAAGGTGTGATCAAGTCCCTGCGCAGTAAGGATAATGAGCTTTATCAACAGACCCCCTCATAAGCCTTTTGCAAGTACAACAATGGCCTCCCGCTCACTTAGCTACGCCCTTCAAGGTGTGATCAAGTCCCTGCGCAATAAGGATAATGAGCTTTATCAAGAAAGTGGTGTACGACATTGCCGAATCGTGCAACGTGCCGAGGAAGTCATTCTGGATTTCGAGCAGAATGCACAATCCTTCGAGGTTGTACACCACATACAGCGGACTTTACAACTATGTACACGAACCTGCCACACAACAAGATTCTTAACAATGTTCTCAATGTTTTTCGTGAAGCACATGATTATGCTTTGGGGCAGATCTCACAGGGCAGAAGGCCAGTACAAATGTACATGACCATAGGAGGTCCTCATCGTGGGGAGTGGGTTACTTCACATGGGTCAGACACCCTCTCGGGGTCAGAAATAGAGCAACATTTGCGGTTCGTGGTCTCTAATACTTTACCTTTATACTAGGGATGGCACTTTGCGCCATCAGGTGGTCGGTATTCCTATGGGTATTAACGTTGGACCAGAAATTGCCAACCTCATGCTTTATTGGGACGAAGCACAGTTCATCGATGATCTTTGTCAGCAAGATTTGCGTGCTGCACAATCATATGCATTCACATATCGATTCATTGATGATTTTCTATCTTGGAAGACATTACCGCCGTCTCCTGCTCGATATGGTCTTGAGTGGAAAGACACTACTAAGCAAGATGGCTCATGTCTTTTCCTTGCGGCAAGAATCCTGGTTCGACTTGATGGCTCACTTCGCATTGGGATATTTGATAAGGCTGAGACCTGGACGTTCCCTGCCGTACCAGTGCTCCTCCAACACTCGGGCTCATCAGCCTGCAAGTGTGCTCACAGGACAACTAACAAGATTTGAACATATATGTAACAATACCACTAACTTCAAAGCGGCAGTGACTTCCCTGACACGACGTATGCTTCTAAGGGGCCATCCTCCCAGTGTCCTGGCTAGAGGCTGGACTGCATATGTGCGTGGCCGACAACGCCGGCTACCAACTCAGGTCACACGACTTCCGAACTTGTTTCGCCGAATGGTTCGCTGGGCAATTGCTCACCCACTCCCGAAAGTTGATTCGGTGCGCAGGTCCTCCACCCAACATCGTGCCAGCCGCATTAAACAATGTGAACGTTACCGAAATGGCAGTAAGGGATGAAGGCCAGCATCCTACCAATACAGCGACTGTTGTTGTTGCTGCTGCCGCTGAAGGTATACCACCTCCTCCTCCGCCACTGCTGCCACCGCTGCCTCCACCACCACCGCCGTCACTGCCATCATTATCAGCACCACCACCACCGTCATCAGCGCCACCCCCACCGACGTCCTCTGTTGCAGAATCCTCTCAGTCATCTGCATCATCTTCTTCTTCCTCTTCCCCTACTTCTTCCTCTACTTCCTCATCATCGACCTCATCATCAACGCACTCATGGTCAGATCGGCCGTCACGAAGGCCCTGTCGGCCAAGGTATCCGTTGTTAGATCGATCGTTACAAATGCCTCTTCAGTGGAGACGTTCCCCGTCTCCACAACAGCCTCCAAGACAGCGGTCTCGTTTGTCGTTGAATGGCATGATCACCGCGCCCCCTGCAGGGGTTAGAGATCTGCTCCGACGACATGCTCGCAACCGTACGGAACGACATCGTCGCTTTCAGTAATCACGAATGAGGAGTAGTGCACATCGAGTCTGATGCCCGCAATGTGGCGATGATTTCTTCAGTGCTGCAGGCTTATGAGTGCACCAGACATGAGGTGCACCTACTTGTGCAGCGTTTCCACGACTAGCAGCCGCCCTGAGCACAAGTGAGGCTGATCAGCTTCCGATTCCCACATCTGGTCCTCCCAGTTCTCACCCACCTGACCCGCCCCTCTCTGATCCACCTAGCCCCACTCGCTCCCCTGCCCCAAATGACAATGACCCATCTGCTGATTACCTGATGGATTCCCCGGTTGAAGATCATCTCTCTCCGGAGCACATACCGGAGCACATACCGGAGCCAATTGGTCAAGACCACAACGACTCTCCGTCACCTGTGCAACCCGCAGAATCGAACGAGGATCCCCCTGCTGTAAGCGGATCCCCCACTCAACCTGCGGAATCAGACAATGCCATAGCATTACAGCGAGGGCGCTGTGCGTACTATGCCATTAATGTATGTCTCCTTGCTTACAATTGTAATCCTTATACTGTTGCTGATTTCTCAGGCGTTGTTCACTGGATAGAAGATGAGCACTGTGCCGTCTGCCCAGAGGACGACAGCGCTGCGCCTGGGGTGAACATAGAAGTCCTGGCTATGGCATTTATCGGTAGGCGACTGCAATTCCAGCCTGCTCCTCAAAACCACAAGCCAGGCACGGATCCGAATATTCGGGCATATATCTTATATCGTCCAGGTCACTTCAGTGCTCTTACTTTTGCAGATAATTCATGGACCCTACGGGACAATGGCGGTAGGGTGCACACAGTGGGAAATATTAACTCTTTGTATCACCAAATGCTGGAGGGTCACTCAATCTGGCTCGTCCATCAGGAACAGTATGTCGATGAACATTTCCAAGCACTGCACCACCCGGAGAGCAATCCGGCTGATTCTACCACAAACAGTGAAAGGACCTCTCCCCAGGATGATGGCTGTGCCCTCCCATCGTGTCGTCGCACAGGTGCAGTTTGGTTGGCATGTACACGACGTAGCCTATGCTCCGAACACTATGAACGGATGGTCGCTGCTAGCCTCTCACACGAAAATTGTGATCCCCTGTCCTGTGCTCATCCCCCCCACCCCCTGATTACTTGTCCAGCATGCCTTTGTGGCCTTGATCTGCCATGCTTAAATAACTGTGCATGTCAGCCTTCCATACTAATGACATGTCAGCAGCATGCTATGTGTCGTCAATGCTTCCAGGAAGCTGTCATAGAAAGTATGTGTCTTTACTGCACGGACTATCCCCGGTGCCATCACCCTCCACATCCTCTTCTAGCATGTCCCACGTGCGGTGTTGGTCGGGTATCGGCCTGTTCTCGTGTTTTGTTTTTGTTTTCAATCAATCAATCAATCAATCAACCAGTCGATTGATTGATTGATTGATTGATTGATTGGGGAAAAAAAAGAAAAAGGCGGCGCGGGGGAAAGCCCGGAAGGAGGAGCGGGAGGAGGAGGAGGAGGAGAGGAGGAGGAGAGGAGGTGTCGTTGACCCCCTCCCCGTTTCCCCTCCTGCTCCTCCTTTGTTACATACTTCAATGAGTATGGGCAGAACCAAAGATCAACCAATATAGGATGAGCATATATGCAGCGGAAGTCTGATAAACGGACTGACTCACATAGACTGACTCACATAGAATCGCTCCACACAAATACAATCGTGAGATGGTGGGTTCTGGGCCAAGCATGGACGATGCCCAGATCCCGTACACACATACACAGATGAAAGGTGGGAGGAGAGACGAAGGAGGTGGGGGGGGTACACAGCACCGGTAGGTCACCGAGATAGAATCCGATAGGTCACCGATATGGTAGTCCAAAATGTCATCCAACAAGATCAAAACGTCGAGGACAATCAGTCACCAATGTCGGAGATACAGAGTCCAAATGTAACCGGTGTTCGAACTGTGATGCCGCCAAGTATCAACCCCAACAATCTCCAAGTCTCCAATCCGGTAAGTACCACAGTCTCATACCACCAAAGTCCAACACTGATCTCTGTCCAACTAGTATTCTCCAATCTGAATAAGAAGAAGAAGAAGAAGATGGAGTCTGAAGAGGAGAAGAAGAAGAAGAAGAAGAAGATGAAGAAGGAGGAGGAGCCGAGGAGGAGAGAGAGAGAGAGAGGGGACTGGCGAGGGGAGGGAGGAGAGAGGCCTCCAACTCCCGATACATCAGGCGGCTATGGCCGCCGGTACACTCAGTCGTCGCTGCTGCTGCGCTAATGCTGCGCTGCTGCTCCTCGCTGCTCCTGCGCTAAGTTTAGCGCCAGCGCTGTATCGCGCTGTACCATACCGTACCGGTAGAATGCCGGTAGGTCGATAGCCTCACTGAGGCTGGACTGGAACTTTTGTACCGGTGGGGCAGAGGCCGGCCTCAATGCTGCGCGCCCTGGCCACCGTCAAGATGGACGGTTCAGCCCCAACCGGCGGGCGGCAGCCTCAAGAGCGCCGCCAGGCCCAAACGGTAATGTCGTTTGGGCCTGCCCGTCGGGTCTGGTCCAAGGTAAGGCCTTTACGGCCTGCAGTACCTCCAAGGTCGGGCCTTTAGGCCCTATATGTCCCTCTAACCCTGAGTCGGGTACGGTAGAACCCGTGTGGCGTCGAAGATGTAACACACTCCCCCTCTTAAAAGACCGAGCTACCTGCGAGGGCGAAGTTGTCTGTTCGATACCGGGGTGAGTCGGGCGGGACGAGCTGCTTCCTTAGCAAGGCGTCGCTTCTCATAGTCGGCGAAGATAAGGGGTGTAGAAGTCTGCAAATCTGTACTGGAGATCCATCGAGTGTCATCAGGCGCACATTGCTTGAATGTGACCTTGAACTGCATTGGCTTGTTGTCATACTTGCAGTGCGTGATGACTCGGTCAACTTCCTGATGTCCGTCCATAGAAGGCGGATCCTGTGATCGACGTCCGGGAAACTCGTCAGCTGAAGGTGGCGTGTAGATGGCCAGCTTTGACGCGTGGAAGACCCGATGCACTGGAAGGTGCGGTGGGATGTTGATCACGAAGGAAGGACCTGCGGGGTCGTCTCCAACGGCAAAAGTGACTTCCCATGGTCCAAACCATTTCGGAAGGAGTTTGCGCGAAACGTCCTGCTCGAGCGCAAATTCCTCGGAGAGGACCCAAACAAGGTCTCCCTCGCGGAAAGGACATGGAAGTCGACGTCGGTTAGCCTGCTGCTGCATGCGGATCTGAGCCTTTTGCATATTCGCGCGGGCTTTGATCAGCAAGTCCCGGTACTTCCGGACGGAAGCGGGAGAGCAAGGGAGAAGGTGCGGGAGAAGGAGCGGCAGGAAACGGGGAGGGGGAGTTAACGAACGCGTGTAGGAACGGGAGGAGGAGGAGGAGCGGGAGGAGCAGCAGGAGGGAGAGCGGGAGAAGGAGAGTGAGGAGGAGCGGGAGGAGGAGTTGGAGAAGGAACAGGAGAAGGAACTGGAGAAGGAGTGGGAGGAGGACGAAGTTGTGGTGGTGGAGCAGCGGGAGGTCAGTCTTTCTCTCTCTCTCTCTCTCTCTCTCTCACACACACACACACCTGTCTCTTATACACATCTAGATGTGTATAAGAGACAGGAGGGGGAGGAGGAGGGGGAGGAGGAGCGGGAGGAGGAGGAGGAGGAGGAGGAGCGGGAGGACGAGCAGGACAAGGAGCAGGAGGAGGAGCAGGACAAGGAGCAGGAGGAGGAGAGGAGCGGCGAAAAACGGGGAGGGGGAATTAACAAACGCGCAGGATGTGGGTGGGAAAAGCGGAACGAGGGAAGGGAGTGGGTCTGAGGCGGGGTGGACGAAGGCTCTCTCTCTCTCTCTCTCTCTCTCTCTCTCTCTCTCTCTCTCTCTCTCTCTCTCTCTCTCTCTCTCTCTCTCTCTCTCTCTCTCTCTCCTGTCGGCGGGTGGGAAATCGGACCATGCGGGTGGGGGGAAGAAAGGGCGGGGGCGGCTGAGAGGGCAGAAGGCCGAAGAGTTGCGAGTCGCATTCACACTCTTTCTCCCGCCTCCCGCTTTCTTTCCTCCTCCACCGCCTTCTCCTTGCCCTCTTCTCCTCCCCCCCCCCCCTTCCCCATCGTCGCAGCATCGCTGCGGCGGGTCCACTTGTTGTTTGGAAGACTGTTTCCTTCATTCGGGAAGCCCTTGATCGCCTGAAAGGGTGGCATCTGCTCTCAGCCACTGTAGATTTCAAAATTCGGTGGGTTTTCTTTTTTTTCAAAGACTGACTGCGAAACAAAAAATAAAAAAATGGTGGGTTTGCATGATCTCTTCAGATGGTGTCATCAGCACTGAGTTGCAATGTACATTATTATGTCATTATGCCATCTCTCTCTTTTTTTTTCTTTTTTTTTTGGGAAAAAAAAGGGTGATGACCTTGAGATATCATCATAGAAAGGGGGGAAAAAAAAAAGAAAAAGAAAGAGATACATCATAGAACTGAACGACCCCCAGGTAAATCAGAAATGAAATTCACTCAACTATTCCGATCTGGATTCGAGCTCGCGTCTGTATTTCAGCAGTTCATAGGTGTAGCAACTGAGCTAGGCCCGCAGGGTCGCTCTGTCTTTGTCAATTCTGGATCACAGGGGTCTTACGTCTGTATCTAGCATGATTGTCGGACTCAATATGTCTATGATAAGCCTGTGCTGATTATATCATTATATGCCTATGTTATGCACAGGGTCGTCTGTTTTCGGCCCAGTTCATAACATAGGCTTTTGATCTCCTTGGGTCCTCTGCTGACTGTGTGTTCCTCCTACCATCTTCTTCTGAACACAACGCACCCTAATCCTGAATGTATATAAGTCAGAAGTTCAGTCCGATACATTCATTTTGAGGGTGTTCTCCATGTCTTCACTGTGCATTCCTTGCCGGTAAGCCAGAAGGTACCTTCATATTCGCCAGAGTATTAACCAGGGTTAGTTTTTTGAACTTTTTCTGATATTGTCCAGACTCCAAAGCTGATATAAATTCGTAAGTTCGAACCCATGGGAGATGTCAGCAGTGCAGCAACTTGACCAGCAGCAAATATGACCGCGGATGGAGGGCGCTGGCCTCAGTGGTTTTTTTTTTTTTTTTTTTTTTTTTTTTTTT